CTTGACTTCTATGGCTTGACTGACTTGCTTCTATGGCTTGCTTTCTGAATCCTCAGTCAAGCTTTAATAAATCATAAATAATATATCACCACAATGTGCCCAGTATAGAATTGTGGGATTAAGTATTTGTCTAAGTCCTCCCAACTCAGAATACTCCTGGGTTCCTGGCTGCCTAGGAACACACTTCCTCTCTGTATCAGCTAGCACTCCTACTTCGTTATCCTACTTCACCATGACCAAAAGCAACTTTGGGAGGAAACAGTTTATTTCATCTTACAGTTTCTTATCACAGCCATCATTAGGGGAAGCCAAGGAAGGAACGTAAGCAGGAAATGAAGTAAAGACTGTAAAGGAATATTGCACCCTGGATTAGTTCCTGACACTGAAGGAATATTGCTCTCTGGCTTGCTCCCTGACCTTGAAGGAATTTTGTGTACAGGCTTGCTCCCTGACCTTGAAGGAATTTTGTGTACAGGCTTGCTCCCTGACCTTGAAGGAACTTTGTGTACAGGCTTGCTCCCTGACCTTGAAGGAATTTTGTGTACAGGCTTGCCCCTGATCTTGAAGGAATTTTGTGTACAGGATTGCTCCCTGACCTTGAAGGAACTTTGTGTACAGGCTTGCTCCCTGACCTTGAAGGAATTTTGTGTACAGGCTTGCTCCCTGACTCACATTCAGCTGCCTTTCTTATACAGCCCAAGCCCTCCTGCCTAGGGATGGTGGTACCCACAGTGAGCAGGACCCTCTAGAATCAATTAGCAAGTAAGAAAATACCATGAGACATATACACAGACTAATCTGATGGAGGCAGTTCCTCAGCTGTGGTTCCCTCCGCCCAGACGTGTCAAGTTGACCACTCTAAAGAACCAGCGTGCTACCCACCTGCCTTATCTGCTGAGTGCTTCCCATCTCCTTTCCCACTGCCCACAAGCATGCTTGTCAACACCTTACAGTCCCCTCAGACAGTAAATGGGGCATCCTGCAGTGTGATCTATAGTTTCTAAACCATTCATTCAACAAACTCATTTTCTTCTTGACTATGTCTAGTGTGTCAAAAATCTCAGCAAGTCATGAACCATAGTTCTCACAGTAAACATTAACCCATAACTGCATGTTTGCAGCACATAAGGTTGTCTATACACAAAAATGATACACTGTAATACAAGATATGTCTCAGGGTGATAGCTTAAAATAAAAGTCCTTTGAAAAAGACACCCTATAAAAAACTTACAGAATTGTGATCATTGCAATGAAATCGGTCTGATTAATTTCAAAATTGTTTTTATTGGTAGTTGACCCTTATCCCCTACCAGAAATAAGTATGTAACAAAAGGTATTGGGAACATTGACTTTTTTTATCATAGAGCAAGGCTTGATTTTTATTATTTAAAAATATTCACATTTGTTTAGATTTTTAACTCTGTGTTGTGCCTTCAACATTTTCCCAGTGATTGTTTGCTCCTCAAGAAGGAAAATAGGCATGATCGTGTCACAGACTCATTTAGCACACATAAAGCTAATTTTTTCATCTATTTTAGATAACTCATAAACATTTTAGGTCTTACAGCCTGAAGCCCTCAGAGTCTGCCTGGCACGCATCACATATGAATGCTGGTGCTTTCCTCTTTTTCTCCAATAGTGCAGACCAGTTCACTAACTGCTCACACTTTGAATTGATGTGAAGAGAAAATGTGAATTCTGTAAATAGTCCTCTAACGTTATTCGGTCATAGTCTTTTAAAACTTTTCATATATTTTTAATCAGTGAGTGTCTGGGACACTTAAGTATTTACACTTACTAAACAAAAACCCTGCATTATTAGTCACTAACCAAGTAGATGCCTCAGATTTTGTAAATGTGTTTTGTTAATTAAAACCCCAAATTAGAATATCTGGTCATAGGTTAATTGCTAAAGCATTTTGTTTTACAAGGTGTGGCTAAGCATCCCCTTGACTCAACATGGCCATCATGTCTGTGAAAGAAATTTCCAGTGTAGCACTACAATTATGTACATTATGTATTTGATTTATAAAAACCGAAAGGCCCCCAAAACAAATAAAAATACAATATGCAGCCAGCTTTACTCAAATGTTTAAAAAACTAATGTGTTCTGAATCTCACCTGACTGTCATATCACAGCTGGGAGCTGCGGTGGAAGAAAGAATTGGGAGTATATGGAAATGAGGCTTTCCATCCTTAAGGAATCAACTCAGTGAGACTCGGCATTTAAGCAGCTACAAAGGATTTATGAAAGTGAGGAAAGTGCATCTATTACCACCTAGACAAGTTTGAAAGGGAGGTGCATTTAGCAGTATCCTTGCCATTATTGAATTAACCACCATGTGAAATGTCTTCAGTGCTGAAAAAGAATACTAAAAATCAAAGACTAACTCCCCATTTTACCCATGCAACCAAGGCTAACGTTTGGAAAGGTGCTTAGCCCCACTAAACTGTGAGGTTACTGGGAAACATTTAATTGTTGCTTCTGCCCATGGGTTTCATACAGTATTTGGATTTTTTAGAGTTTCAAAACATGAGACAGTTTGGTGAGTTAATAGATGAGACCACAAACAAACCCAATAGATGAATTGGTGTGAGCTTTTCTGTATGTTCTGCTGCAGGGAGGGTTGCATTGTGCAATTCATGCTACTGGTTGATTGTACCTATTTTTTCTAAGTTTGCTCATTTTTCAAATAGCCTGAATTAGTGAGCTATTATTCATTCCCCTCCCCCACCTCTCCTCTCCCCATCATTCGCTCTTTCTTCCTCCCTCTCTGTTTCACTAAAGTTGTCACCACACATTTTAATGTGCTCTATACATCGATGTAAATATAAAGCAGTATGTGTTCCTAAATGCCCTCTTGCCAAATGCTAAGTGACTAAATCTCTGGTCTGAGTATAAGCCTTGGTGATGCTCACTATTCTAAACTTCCCTGTGCCTGGAGGCCCTTTTTTAACTTCAATTTGGAACTTGCAGGTATCTAGATTTAGTGTCCTGTATCTTCAGTGTCCCCTGAAAACACAGTTCCTTTTTTAGCATATGTTTAATTTCATCCATTCCATGTCATTTATTTTCAAGGCAGGGTTTCTCTGTGTCGTCATGGCTGACCTGGAACTTGCTCTGTAGATCAGGGTGGTCTCGAACTCATAGAGATTCTCCAGCCTCTGCCTCCAAAGTGCTAGGTTTAAAGCCCATTATTCCCATCATCTTTTTTTTCTTTTCACTCTTCAGGTGTGGTTCTCATGTTGCTCAGGCTGGCTGTCTTACGGTTTCTATTGCTTTGAAGAGACACCATGGCAACAGCAACTCTTATAAAGAAAAACATTTAATTGGTGTGGCTTACAGTTTCAGAGGTTTAGTCCATTATCATCATGGTGGGACATGGCAGACAGACATGGTGCTGGAGAAGGAGCTAAGAGTTCCTGATTCACAGGCAACAGGAAGTGAACTCACTGGAGTAGCTTGAGCATAGGAGTCCTCAAAGCCTGCCCCACAGTGACACACTTCCTCCCACAAGGCCATATGTTCAAATAGTGCCACTTACTTTTGGGGCCATTTTCTTTCAAACCACCACAGTTGGCCTTCGGATCCTGCTGCCTCTATTTCCAAGGTGCTGGGCCATGCTACATCTTTAAACAATCATTTCCTTGGGTGGGGTGATTTCTACCAAAGCATTGAGGCAAAAACCAAGTTTAAGACAACTTGAAAAGGAATTATAGCAGTGTGTTATTACTACACATATAATAAAATAAGGTACATCTAAACTAATGCAATTATGAGCACATGAAAATAACCTATTTCTTACAGTAGAATACTAATCGGGAAACATAGAAAGAGTAACAAATATAGAAACATCACAGTTTGAAAAATAATGTTATTATTTTTTGGAAATGAGCTATAAATGGGTATCAGAAGTATTGGCCAAGATAACTTTTTCATAGATTGGAGAATACTAGGAGTATGAGCTAAACATAGTGTTGGATCCTGGTCAGAATCCAGAGCCAGGAGAAAAGATATTAATATAAAACTTGTAAAATTGGAAGAAAGTGGGCAGAGTAATTAACTGTAATGTGCCAATGGAAAGGCTCCTGGTTTTGATAATTTGCATTACTTATAAGATGTTCAAGTTTGAAGAAACAGGAAAGGTCATATGGGAACTCTGTACCTCTTTCTACTCTTGTATGCTGAAAATCATTCTTTAACAGGAAATAATGTAATTAAATAAAAAGACATGCCAGGTTTTTATATTTTTATGATGCTTTATAAAATAGTTTAAGAGTTAGAGTAAAGGAGTGAGGGGGCAGCTCAGTGGCAGAGCACTCACTGCTTAGCAGGCACAGGATGCCCTGCAGTCATGGCTTAGCATTCACAGCGTACCCTGCACTCAGTCCCCAGCACCCAGCAGAAACAATGGCGAAGAAGGAGAACGTTGTGGGAAGATTAGGGGCCATATTTATGTCTCAGACTGGACACTGGTTGTAGATGCCAGCTATTTCAGGGATTTGGAGAAGGCCATCAATTGAAGCTCAGTTGTTAGATCCTATATGTATCACTTCAGAAACATCTAGGCTTTAACTATTTCATTCTCATAACTACAAAGTAGTTTGAGTTTCTAGTAAAAGTAGAAGATTTTCAAGGTGACATGGGTTATTGACAGTGGAGCTGGAATTCTAGTCTGTGTCTTCTCATCCTTAATACAGTTTTCTTACTATACCCTCATATTATTCATATTCCCAAAATGCCCTTACTCCTCCCCTTCATTCAACAAACATTTTTTTAGAATCTACTAGTCAAAACACTGCACCAAGCATGATAAGTACCAAAAGTTTATGAATTGTTGAGGGTCACCTTCAATAAGTTAAGTTTTCAAAGAAAATTACCAAGACTGGCCAGGTAGAATGGGATAGGGATATTATTTGAAGCAAGGATGGTAACTCTGCCTCCAGTGATACCAAAAGTGCAACTGTGTCAGACATGACCTGGGAGCATCCAATCAATTCTTGGAATTCTCTGTAAACATTTAGTGTCCTTACCTCAAGCAAGGGACACATACAGATGACATTTGGGAAATAAGCATTATCTTTTCCAAACTAATTTTATTTAATCTTGGAATTGTTTTAGAAACACGACATTCGGCTTCACTGAAAATATTCAATTAGTCTCGCTGCTCACGCATCTCTGTGGTTCAGCTGGGTGAACTCATCTCTTCCTCTGTGTGCTGCCATCCATTGGGTCTAACCAAGACTGGTATGGCTCTGGTAAGACAGGGGCAGCGCCCGCTGGATCCTGTCAGGAGAACATATGCCGACCTGAGTTTGGAAAGCTGAGCATCATTGTCCTGTTCAGACACCGGGACAGGAAAGGTGTAGTTTTGGAGAATAGGTGTAACTTTCAAACATCCCATAGGTTGCTTCCAGATCAAGCATACTGTCTTGGTCTTAAAATATGAATTTATAGCAGGCTTTTCCACAACTCTAGGTGTTTTTCTTCAAAAGAGAGTGAGAGATACCACTACATTTGCAAATCTTGTTCATATCTAGAGATCCTCTAAGAGGAACATCCCCCCCAGAAGTGATGTGACCAAACACCATTGATTTTCCTTTGTGCTTTCCCCGTGTACATTGAGAGTCACCTTGAATGATGATAAGTTAAACATTATGGGTACTTGAAGCAATGATATTTATGATGCTTTCTCTTTTACAATTCAACAAATTTCAGTTGAGGAAGGTATTAGAGCGAAATTCGGCAATTTCACATTCTAGGAGGGTAATCACAGATGATTATGCTTTATATGAAGGGTGGTTTTACATCAGCTTTAGAATGCTATTCCTTTGGTAGTATACAGCACATCCATCTGTATTTGAACAAGATTTAACACTGTACAACAGCCGTTCCTGGTGTATAGTTAGGGTATATGAACTGTTTGCTTGTACAGCAGCCCTCTGAAACCTAACCTGAGTAGCAGAAAACTGAATCTCATATGATTTATCCTGGTGTGACATTTTTCCACTGACAATGATTTCAGACCTTTAAATAATAGACTTTGAGTATTTGGGATCACTGACTTCTTTTTAAGTTTAACCATTGATGCATTAGAAACTGGATTTAAAAAGCTTTGAAGCTTGAAGCATCCAATGGTAGCAATTTTTAGTTGTTTAACCCATTCATTGTCTTCTATTTAATGCCTCTTAGCCACTGTTAATCAAACCAAATCCACAATTATATCAGTTTCCAGTTGTGTCTTCCAATTGATTAAGGTAAAAGCTTTCAGTCATATCAGCCTTACAGAGTTGATGTATGGGCAGTGAGGGATTGTGAACAATAGCTTTATTACTTGACTTCTGTAGGTTTTTATTTAGTATAGTATCTGTCATGATTACTCATTCTGCATACTTGCATGTTCTATCAATATGCTAATTTCCTGACACCAGAGTGATTTCTGTTGAAAAAATGATAGCCTTCATTGCTTATGAAATGCAATGACACACTCAATAGTGTCTTCTCCAAACTTATATTGCATTGATTACATCTAGCAGTCCCATATGGTGAAACTTAATTACAACCTTTCCAATTAAATTATGGTTGGAAATCCACTTCTGGGGTGCAGCTCAGCAACCTACTAAATTTCTCGGTGACATTCAGAACACGAAATGATTTTAAGAGAATAAATTTGCAATATAAGTGGGAACATAGAAGAAGGTTTTCAATCTGTATTAATTTATTTTGTAATATCCATTACTTGTACAATATGTTTTCCAATCATCTTCTAACCAAAGATGAGAAACACTGCCTTGGCAAGAATGTGTGCTTTACGTATTCCATATGGTTAAGCAGAAATACCTAGCTGCATACTTACATGGGAAGAAATAGGGAAAATGTTCTTAAGGCAGGTTTTACAGCACTCTTCAAGTCTTGGCTTGGATGATCCATTGGGAAGCCATGGTCTCCTGTTACCCCATGCACCCACCCAAATGTCTCTGCTCCTGGGAACTTCACCTTTGCTCCAGTTCCTGCCAGGGCAACATCTGTGTTCCTATCTAGAGTCACCATGTCTGCTGGTTCTCTGTCCCTTCTATTTTCTGCTTTTGATAGCATTCCTGCAATGCCTGTAACCAATGTCCTCCTCTCATGGGCCATCTCTAAATGAAATAAGAAAGCTATTTTTCCTGTCTTAAATGTGCAAACAATGTAAGTCTCCACTTAATTTTCCTTTCTTTCGGCTAGATCTGCCCTTTCTCTGCTCAGAAGAGCTGCCCCTGCTCACCTTAATGAATCCCCCTTGGCCATGTGTCTGAACACACCACTTAGGCATTCACCCCTTCTCTGTCCACTTTGCCCGTTCTTTCTGTGTCAGCCTCTCTGCCTTTGAACCAAATGACCCACAGCTTCCTTAGCAGCTGTGCTTGTAAATTCAGGCCTTTAATGCCAGGGCTCTGAAACTTGCTTCTTCATCTTCCTCCTTGGAGCATTCTCTTAAAACTCAGAGATTTGGTGAACTCTTCCTCATCTTTGTGTGTAAAAATACCAACTTGTTATTTTTATTATACACTGTCTCCTCTCATTGAGTCAACTTCGTTGGGGTATTTACCACAGTTCAATTATACTTTTGAACTATGTTTCATTATAGAGGCTTCCGTGGGTTTGGGAGTTTAGCAAGCAATGTAGATGGACGTCTACAAAGAGAGTGGCGGGGGGATATTTAGGGTAAGTGGCCCATGCTTAAGAACTAGACCTGACTGACTCTTTTCTGTCTCTTAGAAGCCATGTAGTCCCAGACCGTCCATTCCAAGTGTCTGAGCCTCCACTGGCTCACTCGTTAGTAATTTCTATATACATCACTTACTCAGCAAATACTGATCGTAGACTCAGGACCACAAGTGGTTATACCCAGACATCCCTGGGTCAGGCAGGCTGGTTTCTGTCCTCATGGAGGTTGCAGGCTATAGAGCAGTGGAAATCAAGAGTTCTGGAAGAAGTGTGAAAACCACCATCAGGATGGTGTAGAGGAATAGATAAGCTGGCCTATAAAGTGCCTTACTGTAAGCAGTGGTCAGATGGCTCCTTCCTACTGTTCTCTGAAAACTGTTTCAGCCAGGCAGAGTCTACTTGATGTCCTACCTACTTGCCTTATTGTGTATCAATTCCCTGAAATATCCTGTGAAACTATAGGGAAATGAGTCCAATGTATAGAATTTCTGATTTAAGACATTGAGGATGTGGTCCCTAAAACACATTTTAACACCTGCTAATGAAATCCCGACACCAAAATTGCCAGACCACTGAGAAATGCTGATCTAGAGAAATGGCTTTACTGTCTCCCTTTTTAATAATGGGTCATAAAAACATTGTAAAGCAATGTCATTCTGAGTAAGTTATGCTCGCCCAGAAGCCATTTAATCTAACACTTTTGCCACACATTAGTGATATTAATGACCCAAAGAGATCATATACTCACTATCTAATCATAGTAGGATTTAAATCTTAAAATAACTTTCCCCATCCCTGGAGGATCTTTTTGTTGTCTGTAGCTTTATTGAGAAAAAAATACACATGAAGAGTTTAAAATGCTGTATGTGATAAAGAGATAAAAACAACAACAAAAAGCAGCCTCAACCAAAGAGAAAACTGACCCCGGAGAGTCTTACATCTGTATCTGCAGAGGACAGCAATCGGCAGATGGTGCCAGTGGTCGAGATTATTAAGCCATGCAGATTCAAACAGCAACACGATTTCACTCTCTTAATGTAATTACAGCAAGTCAAAAAATTTTAAAATATGGCCTTTCGCCAAGTTCTGTATAAATAATGTACAGTTTTCCAGAATATACTGATTAGAGTAAGTTAACATTCTTAGTATCAGTTCAAAGGCACTATCCTTAACACCCAGCATCATGAGGGATACACTTTCGGGAATGACTTAGATGCTAAGACTTTCTATCCAGGGTGTGTGGCTTTATGTTAGGTGCAAACCAACATCTTTTCTGTTCTTTCTAGAGACATAGTGCCTGTCTTCAAAGCCCCATCTTTTAATTTTTGGTTTTAAAAGACAAAGATACGGAGCATGAATAAAACCAGCATTATTAATATTAGATGCAAAATGAAAATATACATCTGTTGTAGGGATTGAGGACTGCTTTCTGAATTTTCTATATAAGATTCAGTTAAAAGTTGACTATGGATTTTTATTTTTAACTGTTTAAAGAACGTTTTAAAGATACTGTTTATTCTGATTCTTTAGTTGTATTCTCCATCAGAGAACTCATCTGATATGAACTTTGTATAACAGATAGAGTCTTGCACTAGGCTCTGCAGATTATAGGAGTGTACTATAACTTTTACAAATATCTGCCATCTGACTGTACTCATTTTGTTCCCATAAGTTAGCTAGTCTTTGGGTTATTCTCCAATATTGAGGGCTTATCAAACTAGCAAATGACTAATAATACTTCAGAGTATTTTTATTTTAGCTAAGTCTCATGGGTATTAGATTTCTTAATTAATTATAAATAAATCATATTTTTGTGAGCTTGAGAACCATTCATAGTAACTTCTTGGTAGAGTGCCTATTCAATCTTAATTATATTTATGTTGTTTTTGTTGGTTTATAGACATTTTATGTACCTCTATTTTCTTTTCTATACTTTAAGTTATTAAAAGCTATTTATTAATTTGAATTTTGTGTATCCACTGGAGGGGAATCAGGATAGAAACTCAAATCAGAAAACTGCAGGCAGGAATTGAAGCAGAGGTCATGGAGAAACACTCCTTACCGGCTTGCTTCTCATGACCTGCTTCTCCTTACCGGCTCGCTTCTCATGACCTGCTTCTCCTTACCGGCTCTCTTCTCATGACCTGCTCCTCCTTACCGGCTCGCTTCTCATGATCTGCTCCTCCTTACCTGCTCTCTTCTCATGACCTGCTTCTCCTTACCGGCTCGCTTCTCATGGCCTGCTTCTCCTTACCGGCTCTCTTCTCATGACCTGCTTCTCCTTACTGGCTCGCTTCTGATGACTTGCTCAGCCTGCTTCCTTCTACCACCCAGAGCCGCCTCTGCAAAGATAGCTCCACCCCAGTGGACTGGGCCATTCCACACCAGTCGTTAATCCAGAAAATCACTTACAGATTCTCTTACAGGCAGTCTCATGGCACCGTTTTCTCATTTGAGGTTCTGCTTCTCAGATAATTCTGGCTTGTGTCAAGTTGACAAAAACCTAACCAGAACATGGCTGCCTGTGTGAGGGTGTATGCACAGAAATACATGCTTTCCTTGGAGGCCGGAGGCATTGGACTCTGTATCAGCTTCTGGGATCTGAACTCAGGTTGTCTTTAAGAGCTTTAACCACTGAGCCGTTTCTCCAGGCCCAGATTTTTCTGTTTTCTTCTTTGTCTTTATTTGGGGGTTTGGACTATGCAGTTGTTTTTATGATAGCTCAGTTATACTCATTAATCTTTTCTTTAATGCTTTTGAGAACATTGCCAGATCTTCTCTATTTCAATACTGAATATGCATTTGTGTGGATATACAATAGACATATTTTATATACATATGCATGTATAAATGAAAATACATATGAAAATATATCTGTCTTACTTAGGTTTTCTATTGCTGTGAAGAAACACATGACCACAGCAACTCTTATGAAGGAAAACATTTAACTCAGCGGCTTATAGTTTCACATGTTTCATCCATTATCATCACGGTGGGACATGGTGGCATGCAGGTGCTGGAGAAGGAGCTGAGAGATCTGCTTCTTGCAGGCAACATGAAGTGAACTGAGACACTGGAAATGGCTTGGGCCTAGAATGAGAACTTAAGGCCCACCCCCACAGTGACACTCCAATAAGGTCATACCTACTCCAACAAGGCCACATCTTTAAGTAGTACCATTCCCTATGAGCTTAAGGGGGCCAATTACATTGAAACTATCACAATAGCAACACATGAAACAGTTACAATGCATCCTAAAGACATTAGAATATTTATTCATTTGCTGTTAAAATCTGATAGGTCTAGAATTTATTTTGATTGTGTTGAAAAACATATATTACCTTAAACGTTTTATATGCATACTCACCCTGTTACCATTTTCCATCTTGTGTTTGTTTCTTTTTGAAACAGGGCCTTACATAGTCCAGAATATTCTCAAACTAGTCATATAGCTGAGGATAACTATAACATAAAACATAAAAACCCAGAGACAGATATTGGTGTTCAAGCTTCATGCTGAAGATCAGAAAAGCAAAGCAGCCAACCACTAGCTCTTACCTCTACTTGAGACTGAAGTGGCAACCTACTGAGCCTCAGATCGCATCTCCAGACTGCTCTGCTCTCCTCAACATGACTGGAGACTAATTCTCACATGAGACCCCTTGCATCTTCCTTTTATACCTCTCAAATCCTGGGATTAAAGACAAGGGATCCCAAGTGCTGAGATCGCCTTTGTGTGCCGTGTTTCTCTTTTAGACTGGACCAATGTCATGTAGCTCATCGTGGCCTTGAACTAACAGAGATCCGTCTGTCTCTGTCTCCCAAATCCTGGGATTAAAGTATGTACCACCACCACCACCCAGCTTCTATAGCTAAATAGTGTGGCTGGCTTGGCTTTGCATTTTGTTACTTCAGGCAATCTTTATTAAATTATAATAACATATCACCACAGATAACCTTGAATCCTTGGTCTTCTCTCCTCTACTTCACCGTGGTTGGAACTACAGGCATATGCAACCATGCCCAGTTTTATGTGGTGCTGGCTTCACAAGCCTAGGGCATCTTGCACGCAAGGCAAACATTCTGACAACTTAACTATACCCCCAGGCAGATGTCCTGTTATCTAAATATCAGTTATCACTAACTAAATAATCTATTTTAACCCACCAATTTTAAATACTAACTTTAGTAATGTATCAAGCTATATTTTAAGCCACTTTTGCTCTACACAATTCCAGACTAATTAACTGATATGGTACACCTTCTACACTCTAGCCAGAGCCTCAAACAAGAACTTCAATCAAGATTAGGACTTCAGTCAAGAACTTCAATCAAGCATCTCCCGCCAGACAGCGACTAGGTACAAATGTTGTAGCCAGTCCGCTTGAGACTATCACTACACTAACATTTTCTTCCTACAGGATCCCATGAGGTTATCGTCGTCCCATTTCAGCAGGAAGAAATTCTGAGAATACTATGCCCCCTTTCCCTACTGTTGATATTATAGGATAATTTACACCTGTTAGCGTTAGCTTTCCATTGTTTAGAGTTGGGATTGGAAGGAGGTGTTCAGACTTGGGCATCTCTTTCAGATAAGTTTAGGGTTTAGATGGGATAGATATGCTTAGGATAGGATATAAGTAGATTATATATGCTTTATATATGTTTGAGACATTTTGTATATTGGCATAACTTAGTTTTGTTTCAAGTCCAAACCGTTTCTTTAGGCTAAAAGGGGAATTGTAGGGAGAGATATTATGTACCAGTATCACTGACCGTGCCCATTTGGACATGGTCACAGGTACTTGAGAGAAGGCAGGGATAAAGGATGAGGAAGAAGGAGAGCGCCCTCTCTTGGGGTTTTGCTCAAGGCTTGGAGACCAGCAGATCGCTGACCTCAGGTTCTCAGCTTCTCATGTTAGTGGTTTCTCCCTAATCAAGTATCAGACTTCCCTGTATACTTCGTGTAGTTGAATATTCCTCATCACCTGGTGGTCATTTTTCTTCACAATATTTTTTATGCTTACGTTTTAACTGGCTTTTTACAAATTTCAGAATTAACTTCTTTCTGTAACTTGTTTTTTATTGAAATTGTGTTAACTCTCAAACTATAGGGAAAACTGACATCTTTATAGTATTGGATATTCTGATCTCAAAGTACAGTATCAGTTTCCGTATTTCCTAACCTTCTTCAGTTCTCCCAGAATCACCACTAATGATTTTTTTAGAATTTATTTTGAAAAGATGTCAAATAAAATAGGGACATTAAGCTTTGTTGATGTCTCTGGAATTGCTTTAAAATGATCTTCCTTTCTGCCCAGCCAGTCATCCCAGCATGTGGTTTTCTGGAACTGAACCACTTGTCCTGTGAGTTTTTCCTTTCTGTTTACAGCCCAGTGATGTTTAATAGTCTGAACTGTCTTTATTTTGGTAAGAACACCATGCAGGGCATTAAGAAATATCCTCACTTTCCTGTCTATTCCTCAGCAGTATTTCCCCTTTTCTTTTATATAAATCTTCTTTATTTCTTTTGAGTGTTCCCTACTGTTTATAATGACATCACCTCTGTGGAGGCAATTTGGCAGTATTTATGAAAATTACAAGTACTTGTGTCTTTTGACCTAGTAATTTAACTTCCAGGAATGTATCCTGCAGAGATAATTGCATACCTGTGAATTGATGTATTTCCTGGAATTACTCATTGCAGCATTATTTGTAACAGTAAAAGATTGCATGATCTAAGTTCCTATTGGTAGGAGACTAATTAAATAAATGACACACATCTATGTCAGTGAAATACTGGAAGCCAATAAAAAAAAAGGGAAGGCATTCATTGTTAAATCTTAGAAAATAGCCTATGATGTATATTGCTAGATGAAAATACATTGAGCATCTATCACATAATTATTATCTTATTTTCCACAAGAATTATAATGCTACCACTCTATTACCATATATAAGAGGATATGAGTTGGTTTTACAGAGGGAAATTGACAAAAGCAAGAGAATATGGAAAAGAAAATCATCACCATTTTATCTCGCTTAGGAGACTGTTTACTTAACGTGCAAGACGCCCTAGGTCTTAGTCCTCAAAACCATATAAAACTGGGGATGCTGAATCAAGCCTATAAGCCCAGAAGTTGGAAAGGAGAATAGGAAACAAGGGGTTCAGGGTGGTCCTGGGGATGCATGCCTAGTTTGAGACTAGCCTGAGTTACATTAGACCCTGTCTTAATATGGCTTCAAATAAAGTTTCAATTTTGTTACTCTGTGGATAATTTTACCCAGTTTACTTGTTTTGTTAACACTATAATTGTTGTGACATATAAATGGAGGTTAACATCTGAATTAATGTGTTTTATGTTTAATGACTGTCGTGTTATTTGGCATAGTTAAGATAAGTACATTAAAAACAGTGAGTGTTTGCTGAAACAATAGAGGTACCTCATCAGAAAATAAGATGACATACCACACTCAGCCGTGTGTGTGTTGAGGTGGGGAAGATCTAGCAGAGTCAGTCTTGTATAGACAATTCACATGTTAAATGAACAGAAGAGTGTGCTGCCCTTAAATTGCATACAGTGGAGACATAGGGAAACAGCAAAGTGTGTGAAAACTTCCAACAAATACTTAAGCCCCCTAAACTTACTGGGTTTCAAATTCTTAATCTATACAATATGTCCATCTTTGTCTATACGGGCTTTTTATGATAATTAGTAATGTAGAAAGAGATTTTAAAAGATACTAGAAGATGGAAAGATCACCTATGCTCATGGATAGGAAGAATCAATTTTATGAAAATGACCATCTTACCAAAGACAGTGTATGCAATCTTAATATTTATATTGAAAGCACAAAAGACCAAAAATAATCAGAGCAATCGTGAGAAAAAGCAATACTTCCGGAGGCACCACCACACTTGGGTTCAACTCATACTGTAGATTTTTAATTATTCTTTGATTTCTGCTCATTATATTGTTATTATTTTAGCAGATTTCACGGAATCAGATGGCTCCTGGGAAGTAGGAAACAAAAATTTATTTTATCAGCATATTTTCTCTGCAATCTGAAAATTTCACATTTCTAGAATTTTCCTCTATGAGCAATTTAGGTCCCGGGCACCCAAATAGACTCTAAAATCAATGCTGAAGGTGACAGCATGCAATAGAATGAACCCTCTGTTTAGAGTTGCCTGCCTTACAGTTATCTCCAGTTGAGCTTTAGTTGTCATTGTTTTCTTATTGGTCTTACAGAACTACATGTAACTATAGCTCTGATACAGTACAGAATGCACAATGCTCATGGCAACATGATGCCTACCAGGTAGTCACTCTCCTTGGGGTCAAGTGTGTGCATGTGCACGTTTGTGTGTGTTACAAGGGTAAACTAGGAAGATAATTTAC